AACTCCTCATTAAAATAGAGGAAGGACCTTCTGATCGCACCGAGGATGCCCATAGCCTTCCTTGGATATTTGTTAATTAAATTTAGAAGAGTATTCGAAGGCCTTTGGTAAATTATTGTCGGACCAGTACATATATATACTGGAACGGGGTGCAAGTTAACACATGCGGCTAACAGTTTTCATTTTTACATGGTTTTCCCAAAGAACGTGTTTGCCTTCAAATACGTACACGGCATGAATGAAAAGGTATGGCGATCAAATGAAATAAATGACCATTCCGGCATCCATGTTATGTGCCGTTACTCCATCACGTACATATCCTATTAGTCGGTATGGACTGCCTGCAGGGGCTGTAAATTTGAGCCGCAATGGGGCGAGTATTTTCGGCTACATGGTCGACGAGCCCCCTCCTCATCATTGGCCCTCTCAATCACATTAACCAAGACAACGAACCAGTGGTTTGTTGGTAGAGCGTTTGACTGAATGATCAATGATTCCGAGTTCGAATTCCGGGTGGTCCAGAATTGGAGTAGTGCGGTGCATTTTGCCCTTGTTGTCCATATACCACGGCAAATGTGTGCGACAATATAACGCACGTGAATTCAGACTTCCATGCGCTAATTGGTTATTCTTTAGATATTTCCGTCATGCCATATAACTCACTGTCTCCTCCCAACTACAATTTTGTCGTTCACGCTTATACTAGGCATTACTTCTAGGTGAAACATGTCCAGACCAATCTGGGATAACGTCAGTAAGGCGCACTTACACGAAAATCGCCTGCTGATACCTAATCTTCATTGACAAAACTAGAGGTAATGTGAGACAGAAAGAACATTTTCCTGAGCCGTTATCGGTTTTGCAAAATGAGGCGGGAACCTAATGAATGCATTGGTTATTTCCTTACAAATCGAATTCTAAGAACCCAGGATTTTAGGTATAAAAAAGTTAAGACAGACAAATGTGGACTGACAATGCAGCTTTAGCAGTGGTTTTTTTGGTTTCCGTGGTAAAAAAAACTCTCGAGAAAATACTTTTGAGGAAAGGAATTTTTTATGGGAGCAGGCACGTACCACAAAATCGAATAAGTCTTGTTTTCTGTTCGCTACTGACTTACTTTAAAGCGTGTAATGTCATACCTCTCAGTTATGTCTCTACATTTCGTTGTCACGCGTATGCCTCAGTGTAAATCGCAATCAGTGTATACATTTACCACAGTGAATGCACTCTTGGCGGTCGTCAACATCAAAGACTATGTCCGACTCTGTTACACATTCTGAGCCGTTGGACTGGACGTAGGCTCGTGGAAATATTACCTGGAAGACCGTACTAACAAATACCTTGAAACGTTTTAACACGCTAAATCATAAATAAGCTGTTAACCGTTTATTTTTAAAATTCCAAGATGACATCAGTTGCTGCTATAAATATTTGCATTGACGCTATTATTGTAATAAGTGTTTATTTTCATTTCTTTAGGCTGAAATCGACCGTTCGTGTGGTCAGAAAAAACCTCTTAAGTCGTTAAAGTTGTGTGGTGCGAATATCTCAAGAAAGAAAGACAGTATTACGTTTCTATTATATAATTGATGTTTTAAGTTGACGCAAGCCTAGAAAATACCGTAAAGTTTGCTGAAAATGTCTCGCAGTCGATAGATACAGTTACTCAGTGCATCCAAGTTAAGATGAACGAAGTTATAACACAACTACGCGCAGTAAAGTTATTGAGCTATACCGAATTACCAAGGCACGTACAAGAAGGTAAATAGGCCGATTTCAGGTCACTGCTTATTTATACTTTATTTAATGGCATCAAGCTCTGTTAAGGTAGCGGTATTTTTAGATCAAGTAAGAGAATTCTCAGCTCTCAGCTCTTTAATCATGTGATTAAGGGATGTGTGGTGAACTGTGGCCACGCCAAAAATTATACTGACACTGAGAAAAGAGCGTTTATTCCAACTGACATCAGGTTCCACAAGAAATAGCTGTGCGGAGGTTCACTCTCCACGTGGTTTACACGCGCTGTCCCTAACCATCCAAACAGCTCTTTGTGAAAATATAATTGCATAATCAGATCAGGCGGAAAACCTGAAAGTTATACTTCGGATTTTAGAAATGATTAACACGTCAGACGTTTGTAATGGACCTTCCTTGACATTAGGTTGTGGAGTAGGCTCTAAGGCACTCTGATAGGGAATTGTCGGGAGGTCATGGAGGCCTCCATGACCTCCAGTAACTGCGGTTGTAATCAACCGGTCACTGTCAAGCTACCTAATACGAATCTCCGGTAGGCTATTAGCATTTTGTGCAGGGAAGAGAAAATTCAACGACGGAGGCCAATACTGCACCATTGAATTCTAATGTGAATTTTCGTTCAGAATTTGCAACTGCACATTCTAAAACACAGCCCCGATTCTACAATAATTTAAAAAGTAAGACGGTTCTACGTCGATAAGGAGTTTCGAAAACAAGGTCTATGTTTGGTTAATCCCATACGTAGCATCTGTAATCATATACGTTTGCACCCACATGTTTAAAATCAAGCAAATGATTTTGGATAATCTCTAAATTCCCAGGTATCAACTTTCTGTTTGTACTTAAATCAGAAATAGCTGGACTGACCGTCATCCGTTAATTATTTTAAAGGAAACATAACATTTACAACATGCACCTCCACAGGAGCATTTAGGCCTCACTTACTTTTTTCAAACAATATTTCCTACAAGATACAATCAACAGCGTACTCTGCGTGAAATAATAGTGTTAATAACAAAAAATGGTTTACTAACAATTCTTGCCGATATGAATAATTTATTTTATTAATTTTCACACACTCTTCAACTTCCAACTTTATTAGTTTAGTTTGCGACGTTTGAATCCAAATTTATTTGACCACTATGGCAGACGGATCGTTTTATTCATTTAATGAACAATAGCTAAGAGATATGTCGCCCTACTTACTTAAAACTTCTTACCATCATCTAATTAGCTGGTCTGATTTTAAAGTCAGCTTCCCCTATAAGCAGCTTCTACATCATTTGTGTATCTACATGAAATTTACAGAAGGTGCTAATTTTAATCAAAACTTGAATTAGTTTTACTTTAAGTACCCCATATTTGCCAGGTAATACAAATAACCCGGAATAGCCAATGTGGCGCTACTCTTTTCGAGTTAAAACCCTCTGTTTGCTGTATATCCAGGCATATAGCATGTATCAAAGCTCTTACTTCCTATCAAGGTATTAATGTGTCACTTCAACGATCATGGAATTACTAAATGATTCGTGTTAAAATTAAGAACAGTATATTTCTGAGGAACAGTTCCCTGAATCAAAGGAATTTCCGGTTAAACGCCAAAAAGTCTTCTTTATAGACCAAACAGATATTTTCTGTGACTTGTTGGCGCGCCACGCCAGAACGTTACGTATGGATTATAAAACCGATCACTCTACGGCAACTTTAATTTCGGAGTTATTGGAGTTCACACCGTGAACAAGATAGCTATGTTGCTGCTATGTTCATACCGCAAAAAAGATAGCTACGTTGCAGACTCAAAGGCCTGACTTTCAGTTGCGAAAATCTTTCCTGAAATAACGGTTATTTGCACGTAAATATGCTACTAACTACGAAGTCTCCGCTTCAAAGATATAATTTAATATAGAATATATTCGGTAAGAAATCTAACGACGAGTAGAGGACCCGTTTTCATGAGAGTGCAGCGGCTTCTTACTTCATAGGGTAATTTTCATAGCGTTTTGTCAACAATTCGTGTAATTCAGAATGAATAGGTATTATAACTTCAGAAAATGATCTAATTCATATTTGAATTTTTTGATTAAATAAACTAACAGTGCAAGTTGATTTGCAAGAAAATATTTTTGTTGATCTATTTTTATTTCCTTTTGCTTTTAACCGTTTTCGGATTTATTAAAATTTACTTTGTAAACTTATTATATATTTTAGAGCACAAAGCATGTGACGAGCACTTGATTGACATTAAGGAACGTCAGCATATGGTTCGACAGACCTATGAAGATACCCAGGCCGAAGTAATGAAGATGCAGGCTGAAAATATGAAACTAAAAAATGATGTTGAAAGAGTTACCACCGATATGTAAGAATTGGTTTGACTGTTTTTGTCGATATAAAATTGTCCTGCAGTATATTATTACTGCTTGAAATATTCTTCTTTCTTCCCTATTTTATGTCTTTAACCGAAAAATTGTGCACTTTGGCGCTATGATAGAAAATCAAATATGGTACTCGGATCATGTTTACTTCGATTTACGGTAGAAAAAGCACGACGATTTTGAGGGTTTTATACAGGTTCTTTTAGTTTACGTCGGCTCATCGTGGAAAACAGTGGCTTTTGCGGTGATATGTATTTAGATCCTTGTCCTGTTGTTGTAAAAATGAAGACAAATTTAACCGAACCTGACAGCCTACTCATGTCACTTTATAATACTTTGCAAAAATGATTAGAGCATCAAACAGATAGATGTCTTACAGTTCCACCGTCATTGACGTCGATGTCTGCCTTGTGAGACGTGATGATCTGGAAACGGCGACATGTCCTTGAACTAATGAAGACTTATGCAGCATCTACTGCGCTCTCTCCTTCCTCACTCACCTGAGCCCTGTGTCATGACCGAGTTAAGGAGACGTTATGTGGGATTGGGAGCAGTGGCTAGCAGAGCCTAACTGTCCGACAGCGCGCGCCACGCACGGTCTGGTTTATTAACAAATAGGCAATGTTTTGCAAAAATCGGGGTGATCGGTTGTATAATATAACAGTTATGTGGGCGTGGATTATGCCATTCATAAACACAAGCACATTCTCCGCATAACTGTCGATGCCAACACCAAATATACGCCGGTTTTGTCCGCCACTTAAAGCGCATTAGCGTTGCTGTTTCTTCTGATTTTCAAGGCAACTTTGTAAACTATCGTTAGAGATTTCTAGAACCCTTGGTTATATTTGGCCTGGTAGCGCAACACTCTGAAGTGAGGATCGACATTCGTCAGAACCCCAGGACCAAATTATCAATCGGCACCCAAGCTTTGACTCTCCTGCTACTGCGTTTAGGTGTCCAGTAACTTGCTTTGTCAACTCTTATTCAATGTTTGCAAAACATGGCGTGTCATGTGTTATTGTCTGCTTACAGCTCATGGATAAACTTTGAGGGAATGGCAAACGTAAGTCACTTAGCAGGGCCTGTTTTTAATTGCCTCCGCGTTTCCTCTCGTGTTCCTGAAGCAACGCACTTCCTAAGTTCTCTATGCGCCTCCGCGGTGGTTTCCTGTACCCATAAATGGTTTAACAGTGTAATTTTCCGAGATGCTTGTTTTCGGGCTGAGCGTTAACCTTACTGAACTGCCAGGCACAGTGTGAAAATTATAATTGCAGGGAAATAGTGAATCAAAAGTCACCGTAGTTTTGAAGTACGGAGGCAAGGCGTCTCTATTTGCTCTTTTTAAATAGGTTTTGTGTTAAGTAAGGGTGGATAGAAACCCGCCTTCCTGAGAACGGTCGAAACAACGTCTTGTGAGGGAAGCACATTGCTACACAAGTATTTCGAGACCTTTAATAAAGTTCCCCCTGTATTTTTGTAGAACACTTTCAAACTTGGGACTTTCTTACATCGGTATAGCAGTTAAGTAAAGACCAATGCAATTTTCTGCACTATAACGGTAGAGGGGCACTCCGAACACTTTTAATGCATGCGTCAGTTCCATTGTCCCTTAGGATGCTATATACAGCCCCACTGGCATCTGTACAGCAGCAGGTTTTGCGACTCCTGAGACTCGAAACTGTGCTCTTGTGGGCAGCTGTCCAACGCACTAGCCATTGATCCACGGGCTCGATGTTCTGTCCGTTGTGACCCAGTATAATAAGAATGGCAGAATATGAAGAAAGGCCACAAAGTTCGTATAGACCGTCCACCCCTCATCGCAGACACTGACATTCCGTCAGAAAAAATTCAGATCTTCAAAGACAGGTCCCATACCACGATCCGTGTGAGACTTTAGCACCATCATATCTCAAGATGCTCGCGAAAAATAATTATGTTCCTTCATTAATATAGCAAGCGCTGATTTCCCAAAGCATTATCTTCATTAATTTAAGTACTATTTTATCACAGTACAGCTCGACAACAGTTACAAAAGTATTTACTGTCATAGAAATGGCGATTTCGGCTGCCAAGCTAAAACTTTATATTCCAGTCTCCCTTGTCTTTGTGGGTAATTTAGTTTGACTTTACAATATGAAACCTTTCCTTATTCTACCACCAACACCACTCAATTAGGCTGCTGTTGTGAAGTTTAGAACGCTCTATTTATATGTAAGCTTTTCTTCAAACGGCGTGATCTGTCAAAAGCCTTTTTTCACTCCGGGTGCGAGACTGTGATTTTCACAATAAGATTTATTGGGAGAGCACATTTTGGGTGGCGTTAACACCCCGGGAAGACAGGAAAGAACCTAAAATTAATTCCTTATTTTGCAGTAAATATTGGCTTTGTTCTGGGTTTATGTTTGGTCAGTACTGTGTGAAATACGGAGTTTGGTTTAAGTAAAGAAACTGACTTAAAATGTACAACAGCAAGACAGGAAGATTCGCTCTCCAGAAAGGTCAAATTACTGACTTCCTGAAATCTGGAGACCTTGCCGAAATTGTGACTCTTTACCGCTGTCTTCCTCCTAGAAACAGAGATATTGGTCTTCGAAGCCTGTCAGTCGGAATCTTGGTCCTTGCATTTGACTGCTGGTTAAAAAACGACGAGTGACTCTGTGTTGTACAACGTCTTGGCTAGTGTTTCGTTAAATACTGAGCTTTTGTTATCGGAAACGGGGGGACGGCATGCTAATTACTGATTCGATCCTGAAAATAGCTGTACAAGGAAAATAGATTAAGACAACCCAAATGCCGATTTACTAGAACAATCGTCTAGTAGCTCTTAAATGTGGTTAGCTCCAAACCCTTAATAAGGGAGATCACAAATTGTGAGGTAGACATTTTGGACAAGTTACAAATTTCCAATGTCTCTAGCGCTCGTCTAAGAATAATGAGTGCCCAACTACCTCTGATGAAGTGGGCAGGAGTCCCGCGATTCTGTTAGCTGACAAACTTTAGATAGAGCTCTAGAGAGGTCAATTATGGTTTAGTTGCCTGAACAGTCATCCATACTTCAAACCCCAGCAAGCCATTAAGGTTACTTATGTATCAGATTTTGATTCATGGTTTTGGGTGTTGCAAAGAAGAAATAAAAGGGATTTTATATAACAAAAGTTCCGCAGGCCCAAATGTTCAAGTCATATATTATTTGTCACCTAGGTTATGCACATGTCTTTTAGTGATCAATTTATTGATTAGGAGGTCGTACAAGCCCTTGTTTGAACTATCAGCCTTATTTTTCAGAAGGTATCTCTGTGTTTTAGACTCCAGCTGGCAAGAGAAAATGCTTAGATTTGTATGCATCTAGGTAGCGTACTAATTTAAGAAGCGGAAGACTTAGAGTAACTGCCACCACCCGAACCAGAAAATTTCACACAAATGTCTTCGTTAACGCATGATTCTGAGTACCCCAATGACCTTGGGCTAGTTTTCAGGCGTGGATTATAGATAGGGTTAAGTTTGGGGCATAGGAATGGGTATCTTCTCGGGAACTTCGATCAAGGCCGCCGTGGTACGGGGGATTCTTACACCAGGATTTAAGCGAGTTTTCACTGTGAACTGCAGCTGAAAATGTCTATGTATTTTTCTCTGTTAAAGAATAATAAAAGCTTAACTAAATGTTTTCCTTTTTAGTGAATTTCTCATCGAAAAAAATCAAATAGAAAAAGCGTGTATTACAGAAATCGGTCCGCAGATCATGGTTGTAAGTTAGTACATTTTGTGATTCATGATTTTATCTAATTTCCTGCGGTTGAGTGCAGTTACACTGGTCTCCGTTGTAGAGAATACGGCAACTTAATTTCATGGAATAATTATAGAACAAGGCACTGAACAGAAATTCTTAAGAACAAGTATGGCCGCTAAATTTGGTTTCGAATCTCCAAATCTTTGTAGTTATAGTTAATTTAAACATCCGGAAAATGATCTTACGCAGCAGAAGAATACGAATTAATTTACTCAGTTTTAGTTAAACCCGCCCAATGAGTATTGTATCAAAAACCTGGTTTACATGGGTCAGATTAAGTGAATGATCTAGAGGTCTTGTGTTATTCTTTTTTTTCATTGTGCAGTTGACCTGTTACTTAGGGCAGCAACTTTGAACAGAGTCTTTTGTCATAATTTGCCACAATTGTAAAGGAGCACTGACGCACATGCCATTTTTTGCTTACTCAAACACAAAAGACCGAGAATCGGGCAAGGCACTTTGAACAGGAATGTAAAACTTTGGAAGGGCAATTACGGAGATTTCAAGAAGTCACAGCGTCGCAGCTTGCATCTTCTTCTTCTTCTAAACCCTAAAGCTTTATAGTAATAATGCATTTAACCATCCGATAAATAAGGATACGTGGCAGACGAAGGCAAACTAATCCATCCAATTTTATTTAAACACACCCAATTAGTATTGTTCCAAAAATCTGACTGTCAGACTGACAAAACGGTGTCTGATTAAGAGAACAATCTAAAGATCTTGTGTTGTTCTTTTTTCATTGTGCAATAGAGTTTTTTAAGGCAGCAACTTCAAACTTTCATAATTTGCTATTTTCTCCAATTGTAAAAAAGTACTGACTCATATGCCGCTTGTTTTGCTTACTCAAACACAAAAGGCCGAGAATCGGGCAAGACATTTGGAACAGCAATGTAAAACTTTAGAAGGGCAATTATGGAGATTTCAAGAAGCCGCAGCGATCGAACGAAATGAAATGCAGGCGGAAGTTCGCGGGGAGGAAGAAGCAGTTGCCCTACGGAGGTTCGAATTCGTCCATTTTTACTGTTATTTATTTGCTACTACCGCCTGATTACCCGGAGATAACTACCGACGGCTGAGTGAAAGGTGCATTTTTACTTTTAAGCATTAACGACCAGTTGATCAACTAATTTTAATTTGATGACCGTCATGTCCCGTTTATTTTAAGGCAATATAGTCACAGAAAATGAGGTGGCTAATTATCATGATCTTACAACAATTTTTAAAATTGATAATGCAGAGCAAGAACTTCGAAAAATTAAAGAATTATGCACGCACATCTGGAAACTTTGGGAGAATGCCGTGCTTCCTGGATTTCCAAAATAATTTTATCACTTATTGCTTTTGAACTTAATGAATATATTATAGTTGTATTTCGGCAAAGACAGGCGTCCTAGGATAGCAAGTTCTGGCTTTATTGGCCGTCGTCAGTTAGGGTAGCCAATTTTAGTGTAGCCACTGAAATTTCTGCCACACTCGAGTTTCGAACTGACGTCTCACCGGTCAGAGGCAAACGTCCTAGCCATTTAGCCACGAGTTCGCTGTTTTGCCGGTTGCTGAAATGTGGTCATGGTTGGTAGTCCTGAGGTAAGGCGAGCTTTCGTACACGTCCTGGGCCATAATTATCATGCTTTGAAATGAGTAATCCATTATTCACATTTCGCTGTAGCGTCCCCTGTTCATCTACCTAACTTTCTGACAATAAACTATTCCCTTGTTCAACCCGTTTTTACTTTTAAATGTTCTGCTTTGCTGTTGATAACGGCAATTTGGTTAACACGGTTCTCTTACTGAAAAGCTCATTATCTGCTATCAGATTATCTGCGATTGAATAATTTACCCTAAACTCAGTCAAGAACTTAACAGGGAATCCATATAAGTGGATATATATACTGCTAGCATACTCTTTTAGCGGATACATTGTCCGATTAGCAGAAACCCGCTCTTAAAAGTAAGGTACACATAAAGTTCAAGATTTTCACGCCAAAGTGGTTACATCCGGCATCTTATCTGGAACCCACTGGGTTTTAATCAACCATCTCATTCTTCTACGCCGTTAGGCGCAGTGTAGAAGAGGCCAAAGCTCAGAGTGTCCACTTGCAGAACGGAACCAAGGATGGTCAACGAAAAATGGTCAGTCTAACCAGGTGTTATGAGACCTTGCAAGGACAAGCCTCCAAACACAGCGCCAAATTGAATGAAGCCACAGACAGCGTAACTAATCTTCGTAGGGAGCTGCAGCTGAAACGATCTGAAGCAGGCCGGCTGGCGGAGACTGCGAATGTGATCCGGTCTCAGCTGGAGCTGGGGTACGAGAGTGCGCTGAAACAGGCAATCGATGCGGCCTCTGCGCGTCTATGTGCACTGCTGCAGGACCAAAGTGATCAGTCAACTCTTCTGCAAAGCTTGAAGGATCGGATGGCAGAGGCTGTTAAGAGGCAGAATAAAAGGTGAGTTGTTAGGGGGGTTTGGCGGCTTTGCTTAATTTACTTTACTCAATTGGGAAAAACTCGCGGCCTCGGTGGGAGTCGAACCCACACAGAAGGGGAAGGCTTTTGCGTGCCAACACTCTACCATTGAGCTACGAGGCTCAACGTGAGCCTAAGTTTTGCTAAATTCTCCTGTCACTTTTGGTTATTGCTTTGCTTCGTATTCCTCTCTTGTCACGGTAAATTATTCTTCCTTAGCTATCCACCGCTTTGGCAGTATGACACAGCAGGCAGTACTTTCCTTTGGCAGATACTTTGGAATTTTGGGTGAGATGTAGACAGTTGGCCCTTGTGTAATAAGTGCACTTTTACCAATCCATCAACAAAAATTGATGCTAAAAGCTATTTTACTCGTTTTTTATTTTACGTAAAAAACTTGGTGTTATTCGGTTGACCAAATTGTTGCCAATAGTGGACACTATGCGAGCTCCAGGAAGCAGTTCAGAAGACTGGGATGCGAGCACTGAAACAAGAGTTTTATTGGCAAAAGTAGCTTATGTAGGCCCACTCATCTACTCCTAGTTTCAGCATTTTGTCCAGCAAAAACGATGCTTATAGAGTTTTGGGGATGGGGAAATAGAATAGGCAGAGAAGAAAACTTTTAGAAGTATGTGTAAAGTGAAAAAAATTATTCTATGTTGCTTCCCGCGGCCGCTGGGAGTAAGTTGTTCCGCATTTAAATTGAAGGT